TTATTATTATTATTATTATTATTATTATTATTATTATTATTATTATTATTCACAAAGCCTTCGGAATGTTCGGCATATAACTGCCAAAACATAAGTAATCAAACCATAAATAATAATTTTATCATTTTAAAATTATCATTTTTGACGTTTGCCGCCGTATTTGTGATCTGCTTGCTTCTTATTGCAATAATATTCACTTTCAGACGTTATGCTAACTACAATAACATTTCAGCAGCTTCCATTCATATGGCAATAACCGATGCAGGAAGCAACGTTTTTTTAGTTTCTCAGTTCGTTCTTCTAACATAATGCGATTTAATTTTTATATGATTGGTTTTCGGTCGTGAAACACAGATTAAGAGGATTTGTATCACGCGCGGCCAGCGCCTACCCGGTCGTGAACAGGGCCAAATAGAATACTAGAATACTCTTTCTTCAGAGGGCGTTGCTTTGACTGCAAAAAACAAGGTTTCAATATTCTACAAAGATGGTGGCGCTTCAGGCACTCTTATGTAGTATTTTGATTGTTGCGAGTACGCAATTAACATTTTCTTTTTTACAAGTTGCAACTCATGCTACCAAAATAATTTCTGTTGGTAGCAGTTTCACCAGCAAGGTGCCATTGCGGAAAGACTTCATTACTACCATATTACTGTTCCTCAAAATAAAACAAAAATGACAATCTGATGTTTTAAATTCCCATAATGTGGGAAATGTTACATTCAATTCCTGGCAGGTATTGAAACAGACACTTCTTGGGCATATGGAGGAGTCTAAGATAACGTTTAGCAAAGAACACTTGGGGGAAATCTCAAAAACAAAAGTTACAAGTGCGAGATTTGCGATGTCTCGAAATAAAGGTTACATGATTCTAGGACAAGAGAGGCCGAGGTGATAGCGTTTTGGAAACGATCAAGTGCTGTAAATCTCAAATATAGAAGTAACAGATGCGAGATTTGTTCCTGATTACTGGGCAATTCGTCTTCGGGCAAGTTGCCTCAGGACCCAATTTAATTAGGAACACCGTCAATTTTTCCAATTCAAAAATTTTATTACTTCTAACTCAGGTGAATAGCTATGTTATTTTATTGCATAGAGAGAAGAGTTTTGCTTAAGTATTGGGGGGAAAAGTGGAACTTCTGTTTGAAAAACGGGGGCCCTGTGAAACTACTGTCCGCATCTGATTTTTCAGGGCGCTTATACATCGACAATTTATTCAATTTCAAACAAAAAATATTCTGACTCCAAATTAACCGCTACAAGTTACGTGTGTTTAAGGAAATAAATTCTGTTTGTGTAGGGGGTGGAACTGAATTTTCTTATTTCTTGTCTGTCCGGGTGACGCCGCGCCGTTGGCTGAGAGGCCAACAAGCCGTCAGCCAACAAGCCGTCAGCCAACGATGCGGCGTCACCCGGACAGCCAAGATGTCATGAGCCGCGGAAGCTTACGTGTAGAACTGAACTTTCGTTGGGATTTTGACCCCCCGTGGATTTACTGCCCTAGGCTTCTTTTCTCTGGGTACCCCCTCCGTATTCTTACGGCACATTTGACGCGCACAAATCCGATCCCCAACCCCCTCACCTTGATGGCGAGCACGTGCGTGCCGGCCTTGACGAGCTCGTCGGCCAGGTTGACGTAGTACTTGAGGTCGTACTTGGTGCGCGCCGGGTCGGCCACGTCGCCCGTGTACGAGATGGCCGCCTCCACCACGCCGCCGGCCTTGCCCGCCGCCTCCATGCCCACGATCAGGTTGGGCATGTAGTTGAGCGAGTCGAACACGCGGAAGATGTCCATGCCCGACTCCACGGCCAGCTCGCAGAACCTACGCGACAGACGCGCTCCGTCAGAAACACTGGGAGGGACTGTGAGAGAGGTGGGGCGAGAGGTCAGTATTCATGGGTTCGTCAACTTCTACGCTCCAATAAGTTACATCCCGAGAAGTGGCATTGTTTTCCTGTTGTTAAAACGGTTTTTAAGTTATTTAACAGTTAAAACAGTTTTAAACAGTTTTCTGTTGTTCAAGCGTCCACCGGGTATTAATCGCGATTAATACCTTGTGAACGCTTGAGCAGTACCTTAACAACAACACCAACAACAGCAACAAAAAAAACGCCACTTCTTTTCAACGCCAAATCTTTTTCAGTTTACATTGTTGTGGTTTTATGCAAGTTCTTCTAAGGCGTTCTTTATGGAACGCTAATGCTTGTTTCGAATACATGCAATTATTTTTCGCCGTCTCTCCAAGATATTTTATTGTAAGTTCATTCTAAAATGTTAGGAAGTTAGCGGCTAAGGTCATTAGTTCCGTAAGTGCGGTGTATGTTTTATTCCAGGAGGATGCGATGCTATGTATTGGACGTCGAGATCCGGCGCCGACCAACATGTCGGCTCGCGGGGTTTTCCCCGGCCAGGTATCTCCCCCACCAATGGGGCACCGCCAAAGCCGGGAAAACTCTAACCTTCCAACTAATTTATCACCATGTATGGCAATGTAGTGCATGTGAGTGTGTGTAAATAATGGGTAATAGGACAAGGAAAAGGAAATGATTCGGTCCGTAGCCCGTCCGGTCCGTAGCCCGCCCGTAGCGGTCCGTAGCCCGATTGTTAGGGAACTGATCCGACATTCGCCTGTTGCTGATCGGAGAAACCAGGGAAAGCTACCGATCAGAGCAGCCGGCCGCTAGAATTCTCCTCCAGACAGCGACTGAATTCAACCTAGCTACGTAACTAATGTCGACAATTCTGCCACCGTCGGGAAGAGAACCCTACGACATTTGGCAAAAGAGAAAAAAGTTGGAAACGGAAATGGAAGTGGAACGGAAATGAGTGGAACGGAAATGAGTGGAACGGAAATGAGTGGAAAGGAAATGAGTGGAAGGAAATGAGTGGAAGGAAATGAGTGAACGGAAATGAGTGGAACGGAATATGAGTGGAAGGAAATGAGTGGAAGGAAATGAGTGCGAACGGAAATGAGTGGAAGGAAATGAGTGGAAGGAAATGAGTGGAACGAAATGAGTGGGAATGGAAATGAGTGGAACGGAAATGAGTGGAAGGAAATGAGTGAACGGAAATGAGTGGAACGAAATGAGTGGACGGAAATGAGTGGAACGGAAATGAGTGGAAGGAAATGAGTGGAGGAAACTGAGTGGAACGGAAATGAGTGGAAACGGAAATGAGTGGAAGGAAAATGAGTGAGAGGAAATGAGTGGAACGAAATGAGTGGAAGGAAATGAGTGGAAGGAAATGAGTGGAACGGAATATGAGTGGAACGGAAATGAGTGGAACGGAAATGAAGTTGGAACGGAAATGAGTGGAAGGAAATGAGTGGAAGGAAATGAGTGGAACTGGAAATGAGTGGAAACGTGGAAATGATGGAACGGAACCATGAGTGGAACTGGAAATGAGTGGAACGGAAATGAGTGGACGGAAATGAGTGGAAGGAATATGAAGTGGAACTGGAAATGAGTGGAAAAGAGTGGAAGGAAATGAGTGGAACGGAAATGAGTGGAAGGAATGAGTGACGGAAATGGAGGGTGGAACGGAAAATGAGTGGAACTGGAAAATGAGTGGAAGGAAAATGAGTGGAACGGAAATGAGTGGAACGGAATGAGTTGGAACGTGGAAATGAGTGGAACGGAAATGAGTGGAACGGAAATGAGTGGAACGAAATGATGGACGGAATGAGTGGAACGGAAATGAGTGGAACGGGAAATGAGTGGAACGGGAAATGAGTGGAAGGAAATGAGTGGAACGGAAATGAGTGGACGGAGAGAATGAGTGGAAGGAAATGAGTTGGAACGGAAATGATGGAAGGAAATGAGTGGAAGGGAAATGAGTGAAACGGAAATGAAGTGAGAACGAAGAGAGGGATGGAAGCGAGGAAAATGATGGATGGAGAGCTGGAAATGAGTGGAAGAGTGGAAATGAGTGGAAGGGCGGAAATGGTGGAATGGAATGAGTGAATGGAAAATTGAGTTGGAATGTAGAAGGTGGAAGGGAGAATGAGTAAAATGGAAATGAGTGAATGGAGAGGGCATGGAAGAATGGCGAAGTAAAATTGAAAAGAGTGGAATGGAGAGGGCATGGGAAATGGAGTAAAATGGAAAAGAGTGGAATGGAGAGGGCTGGAAGTTGGAGTTTAAAATGAGAAATGAGTGGAACTGGAGAGGGGTTGGCGGCGGAAGTGGAACGGAACGGAACGGAGCCGGAGCGGAGCGGTGAGCGCGGGACGTGCGGGCGGTGCGGCGGGGGCGGCACACCCACTTGTAGACGACGTTGTCCGGGTAGTTGGTGTAGCCGACGGCTTGGCGCCGCGCAGGCAGCATCTGGAAGGGCACGTTGGGCAGCAGGCGGCGCATGAACTCCAGCCGCTCCCAGGGGCACTCGTGCAGGAAGCGCAGCGCCACGTCGAAGGTGGCGCCGCCCCCAGTTCTCCAGGGCGAACAGCCGGAGAAGTGGTGCGCCACGTACGGCGACACGCGCAGCAGGTCGTGCGTGCGGCACGCGCGTCGCCAGCAGCGACTGGTGCGCGTCCCTGCGCACGCACAAACGCGTAAATAAATACAAAAGGAATTAAGCGCGTAAGTGCGCAAACGCTTAGGGACTCAATTAAGTTGGAGTGTTATGTCCTAGACTTCATATTAACCGCGTTGTATCGAAGAAGCCTTGAAGATCGCATTAAAACATTCCGAAACGACGGCAAATTGAAGTGAGTTAATGCTTTAATTTAAACTGTGACCAAAGCCCATGTGCACACAAGAGAGGCCATGTGTTCCAGGAACAAATTACCCCGGCTTTTCACGGTTTTTCCAGAACATTATTTTAACTTTTCACTGATAAAATTTGTAGAACACTTCATATTTTTGAAAAATATAAAAGGCTGGTTCTATGTTATCAGCTCCATTATTTCACTATAGATACAAATTAAAATAATATTCAACTTAAATATCGAATCACTATTTGTGGCTATAAAATTAAGAGTAACGTTTAGTTACGAGTATATAACATCTCAAAACTTTCCCTGACAAGTTCATTCTACAAATTTCCTGATTCTTTCCCCGACTAACGAAAAATTCCCTGATTTTTCACCATCTTACCAGAACAACGTAACAATTCTCTGTTTTTCCTGTTCTGGAAAGGGACCACACTGTCCAAAACATTGCTTAAACAAAATTCACCCTGGTCTGGTGGAGTGGCGAGATCGTTAAGGCAGTAGCGCCGTAGCGATCTCGGCCCGAAGGATCTCGTGTTCGAGTCCGGCTCGGGCATGGGTGTATTTGTGTTCGTCTTTCACCGCCACCATATCACGTCCTCTCCACAGTGACCATACCGTTAAACGCAACGGTCGCTAAACACCTAGATGTCGTTGCGGCCTTAAATAACAAAATCACCTGTAGGTAGTGTCCATGAGCAGAGTCCTTGTTCTGTCGGACGGCCTTGGCGAAGCCCTCGGGCCCTTCCTGCAGCAGACTTGACGCAGGCCCTGCGGCGGCTCCATCCCTGTGCACACCACACGCCCCCGGCCCCCTGTCAGCGCCCCCCGCCCCGCTGCCGCTCCCCGCCCACGCAAAACACACGCTCCCCGCCACGCACACGCACTGCTCGCCACGATTGTAACAGGAAAGTCTTAAAAAATAATAATAAAATAAATAATAATAAAAATAATAATAAAAATAAATAATAAAAATAATAATAAATAATAATATAAAATAATAAAAAATAATAATAAAAATAATAAATAATAATAAAATAATAATAATAATAATAATAATAATTTTACATTAAAAAATGTTACTCTCGTAAACAATATTCCAAGCCTTAATTTCGGCATTGAACAGCGAGTAATTATCCTAAATCATGGTCTTTAAAATGGTGAGCTTCTCCTTCAAACTTGGCTTTTGTGTCATAATATTGCGTATCCTTTTCGGGTTGGCGACGTTGGTATCCGAGGTTTCCGGACGGTCATCCATCTAGAGACGCTCGGTGTCTCGAGCTGCTTAACCTCCGCGTCTTCGCGGAGTTTGGTTAAGCAGTTCGGCTGCCGACGACGGCATTAACAGACTGCTGTATGTTGTTAACATCATTAGGCCGATACACGGCAAATAAAGAAGCGGTTGAAGATTGTACGCCGACGTGAAACCCGAAAGTTATACCAAACGGAGACTTATTTGTGTTATGGACGGTCTTTTATTACTTTTTGTAAAACCATATTCTCTTAAGAAACAAATCGCATACATAAGAAATACCAGTTGTTAGAATAAGTGTACTCTCACGCTATCTTTAGCTACAGTTTCTTTATTTCGTTTGTTCTAGACGGACGGCTGACCTGCATCTTTAACGGACGCCGGCCGTTAAGTGACTTTTTGTTCCTATGTTTACTTGCGTTAAGTCAAAATTATAACAGTTCAGCATCACAGAAATGGGTCATTGTAATACCGTACTGTTATATCGTCATACCATCAAACAAAAATAAAAACCCGCTCTTAACTGTCTAATGAAAACAAATGGGTTGTACCCTAGCGATGGCGTAAGAGTTACAAGAAGAGTTACTTTATACGATTTTTTCTTGTCATATGATGGGGTTTCGAAAAGTATTGAGAAGAATCGACAGACGGCCAATGTCACAAATAACAGTCCATTATAAACTCCGCGTGTCCTCTCGGTTTACAAACTTCAATCAAGTTCGTTATATGCCCTACATCTGCCTACTATTAATAACTAATTTACGTGCATATCAAGGCTGAAAATGTCTTGCGAACGAGCACATGAGACTTCGCCTTGGGTGCTGTAAAAGTATTTTCGAAAAACAACACCTTTTAGCTTTTTGGTTTTATCACTGGTCTTGATTACACAAATGATCCTACACCCCTTGTTTAAATTGCACTTAAAAAATAAAAATTGAAAGTGGTCAAGTAAACTTTCTACATTTAATAGCAATTAACATCTAATTATACGCTTCCTGTAACTTCAGAGTGTTGATCGAGTGACTACCTCAATTAATCACATCAGAACCATTAGTAACTGCTTACAACAGATTTTACTGTATTTAAATATTTCCTGTTACAATTATGGATTATGATTAAATTAAAATGGTGCTCCCAAAATTCTCGATAATTTTTTTTCCAAACATTAGTGGATTAAACTGAATCTGACACAACAAATCTATCCACAGCACCGTCTGAAATACAGGCAACGTTCGTGCGGGTTGCAAACGTTTTGCATTGTTCAGTTGCGGCAGAGGTTGAACCATTGAGAGGATTTCAACATTTACAGATGAACATGTTCATCATTTACATCAAAGTTCACAATTAAACACTTACTAAACATTTCAAATAATAATTAATCAAAAGATTAGTACTTTAAAGACAACAAATATAAAAAAAGTGCATAAAAATTGCTTCTTTTAATAAAAAATTGATTTAAAATACTATATTTAGGTACACACACTATTTTTTAATATTACTAAAAAAATAAAAGATGTTTTTATTTATCATGAATTATTATTTTAAAATTTATATCTGCACAAACATGAACTATTGTTTGATAACTGTAATCACGCCTTGTTCAGAACTGAAATGAAAACTTGTTCGATTTCAATTTCACTCTAGCGTAAAAAAAACAAAGACACAAAAAATATACTAAATACAATTATTACTTTTTTATAAAATCAATATTAAGAACATATTTATAAATAATAGAAATACAGATTTAAAAAATAGAATATTTCTATTTAATTTTCATATTAAAAAGCAATCATGAATATATATTAGTTTTATTTTAATATATGATCTTACAATAAATTAATCATAATAACCATACATTTGTTCCAAGATTATTTTAAATCATCTTAAAATGTGTAAATGAGTACACTGAAATTTTATCAACAATGCTATTTCAAGTTAAATACTAGAGTACTATTGTAAGTCACATAACCGATTTGGAAACCCTGTCACCCCCAAGTATCTGGGGGTAATGCAAATAGAAAGATCAGTGTACCACAAAGTAAAATATATCTACCAACATTTCAGCTTATATCCTGAAGCCAATTTTTATAATTCACTGCACGGTTTTGCTTAGCAATGTTTAGTTTAGTTGCCTCAGGATGAGATGAATAGTTGTAGTGAAACTCATTTTATAGAAAGCACAATGCAAGTATGTAAGGTTAGTTGTTCATTCAAAGAGAAATGTTTGGAACTTTTCTGACATTAACTAAACTTAGGGTACTTTTTCATATGAATTCATGCTTTTGTGAACCTTGCAGTGATACCACCTCTTATTTACACGTTACTTCTTTTATAATCGTGACCCTTGTAAATATCAGATTTAATGATCTTTTGCATTTTCCATTGCTGGAGTACCATTCAATCTCGTTTGAAACATGCTGTCAAGAGAATGCACCTTGCAAAGAATTTTTTGTCCTTGGTAATAAATTTAAAATAAAGTATATTTTATAAATACAATGTACAGATAAAGGTTTGTTTGTCCATTGCAAAAAAAAAACTTGTGAAAATGAAGGAGTTGAAAGAAATTGAACAAGTTTGAGATGGTAGATTCTCCAGATCATACTAAAAGAATTAAAATAAATTTTGTGAGATATGAAGTATATTACTATGAAACCTTCATTATTAATAAATACATCTGAGCCGAACTCAATTTTGTTAAAATAATTATGCATATCTTTTATAAGGTAAACAAAGTTTACCAATAATAATTTTCATCAGATCTGTTTGATCACAATTTCATTAAATAGTACATGATTTTAAATAGTCTGAGTTGTTGAAAATTATTGGATTTGAATTTATATTTAAAAGAATTATTGGACAAAGATAATAGGAAAATGAAAATTTTTGAAACAAAACACAAAGAATTCCATTAAATTTTTTTTCCAATTCATATTCTATTACATTATTAAAATAATGCACGTTTTGAATATTTAGAAAATTCCACACCAAAAGACTGTTTATTTATATCTGAAATGATTTGAGGCTTCGACCGTTGATTCATAGCAGTTTGTACTCTCTTAGATTCTATATATATGTATATTGGATCTACAAAATGTTTGGTGATTTATCAAATAAACATAATGACAGCAAGAAATTACTATTGCTCAGCACTTCAAAGTAAATTAGATCTAGAAAACATTGTTGAGGATTAAGAAAAACTTCATTTCACTCCAATGCTAAGTCATCTTGCATCTTGTTGGATTTCTGATATGACATTTAAAAAATATTTACCATTGAAGGCAATTAACATACAATTTTGTAAAAGTTTAAACAAGGACAAAAAATTTTGCTTGTGGTACAGAAAATAAATCTGCATATCCCTTCAAGTTAATATTACAAAGGTCATGCTGGTGCCACAAGTCTGTTCACCTCCCAGATTAGGTCATACAAGTTGCAATATTATTATTGGAAATTAAAAAAAAAAAAAAAACCCTCTAGAAGCGACATTAACATTCAAAATCTCCATTTTGTTTTCTAAACAAATATATCAAAAATTCTATCTTGGCATTAGAACATATTTATCTCTCATTAATTTCTTTTAAAATTGCCATAACAAAATAATGTTAACTTGTTTCAAAAGATGAATACTCGATATTGATGAAAATAAATTTGGACATTTTTATGAATAGTAGTTCATTACAAAAGCATTATATCTGAATGCATCTCAACTGTCTTACCAATATGCTCAATAGTTTAACAAGAATAAAATTAATAGCTAATTTTATTTTTTATTTTTGTAACCCCCGCAAAAAAAAGATATGAAAGTTTTTATTTTAGATTCCCAAACAACAGGAGGAGTTTGATTCTAAAATCACCCCTCAGATCACCAGTAAAATTCATTTCTTGATGTAAATAATCATGATTCGGAATTCTCAAAACAATAATAGAATTACATAACCTCGTATCAGTAAATCCACATTTTATTTGAAATAACTCGCAAAGAGTAGCACTTAATGTATTTGAATCCCTAAATTACAAATGCCCATCTTCCTGCGACCACCCCAAATACCAAGGCATGCATTCCAATCTATGTATTCCCATAAGGAGACTTAAATATTATTTTCCTGAATTTATTCATACACTAGTATATAATGATATTAATTATTTTCAGCTAAATTCTTAAACGATCCATTTGGATGACGCAATTTCAATGTCCACACACCATCTTTTACTCTTGTTACGTTTCCACATTATTTCGCTGAACGTGGACACAGCATAATTTGTCAAAAGAAAAAAAAAATAAATGTTTGAAGCACTCACATGAAAGTTGGGTGCTGGATTATTTGTGGGGGGTGAGTGAGAGAGGCAACCGTGCATGTGGTAGAAGAAAGCAGCACCCACGTGCACCCGTCTATGTAGGCACAGCTGTGATTTGTCATGCCTGTAGCAGCACAAGGACTTACCTGGGGGGTATTCCCCTTCACCGTCACTGCCCTCCACGGAAGCCTGGGCGGAGAAATCTGAAAGTGCAGATGCACACCGCTAGTGACAGACTAAAGGGGAAAAAAAAAGAGTGCAGCAATGCAACACGGACCAGACATAGTTCAGGCGCAACACAACGGACAACACAAGTCGCACAAGAATGAAAACAAAACTAAAACTTGAAAGCATCCAGATCCTCAGAGACTACTACAAAACAGAATTGTGGTTAAAAATTAAGAAGTTATTATGCCTCAATACAGCAATTCCTGGAGCAGCATCTTGGAAACAATGAGCCATTGATCTTTCTTTCCCTGTCCTCCTTATCTATTCTTGGGGCTGAGCAGCTGGCCAACTACCTGTTCCTATATGCACCATCTCCCATTTATCTAGATTATCTCCAACTGGCAACAGTGATCCTGGATGCAGCATGAAGCTGCAAGATTCCTCAGACAGGGATCATACCCCCATGGCTCTCATTCAATAAATATGTGTAAAATGAGGGAAATTGATTGGGGGAAAAAAAAAAAAAATTGATATCACTGAACGTTTCAAAGAAGAATTGAATTTGGCTCATTGTACAAAAGATAGTTCTAGTTGATCACATTGTACACACAGAATAATGAAAATGTTCCATGGAATAAAACTTAAAAATTGAGAAAATCTTGAGAAACAATTTTAAGAACAAAATTATTTATTTCATGCAAGAGAAATGACAATGTTTATAACAAAAATGTCTATTTTAAAGATTTGCACTTATATTTTTCATTCTCACAGAAAGAATGCACTGGGGAAAAATGAAAACAATATTTTATGAGAGAACGTTCTAAGATGACAAGAATGGAATATATGGTAATGAAATAAAAATAGATTGAACTGAGCAGCATTTGTTATGTTTGAAAAAATGCAAACACACTGTAAAACTGTTCCATACTTTGTAATAAGTTTCTTAATTATATTTTTAGTTCTTTTATATGATTTAGAGCAGTTTTCAAACAGTGGTATGCTTATCTCCTCTGGATACACTTTAGGTTTGAGGATGGTTTGCAAACAATTTCCATTGAAATATTTGAAGGATATATTCAGCACTTGACATAAATAAATTCTGGATTTTTGCAAGACATTTCGACATGATTATACTATGAACTTTAATCATGGGGAAGAGGGCAGATCTTTTAAAAGGTTTGGAAACATTTTGTTTAAATTTCTCATTTAGAGCTTCATTTTGGAACCATAATAAATTCAAAAATTCAACTGAATAGCAAATGATAATTTAAATATTCAGACAGAAATTCATTAGTAGTTCATGAAATTATAAGTAATGCAAAAGAATATGATGATGAAAATTGCTGAGCTTTTGAAAAACAGAATTGGTACCTAATGACCACATTTAACTAGTTTGACAAATGCAAGCTGAATTAAATTTGAAGAGTGAAAAGGGTGAGGCCACATTATTCATTGAGTTATGGAGTGAGTGAATGATACATGAAGCTGTCTCCGAGGAACTGGAAGCAAGAATTGCATGACCAACAAATCGTTATGGTTCTGCTGGACAAAAACTTCCGTTTCAAAATAATAAATGCCATCTCAGATGAACAATTCCTTCTGTTGCCATCACATCACAAAATTAACGGAATGAAATACATTGAAGATCAACTTTTGTTTGTCAAAACATGGATAGTATGAGCCTGTATGAGCCTATGATTTTAATTCTCAAAATCAATAACACTCACTTTTGAGGTGAGGATAACATTCAAATTCTTTGCAACTGCGTATTTTTTTATCAATACAATAAACTAGGGCAGCAAAAATTAATTTTTATGGGCCAAATAAGTTTGGTTTTACTGAGCAGCCAACAAATATTGATTTCCACACACCTACAAAGTAGTATTTACTCCTTGTAATATTTAAGAAAAAAATATTTAAACGGCTTCATATATAATCACAGAGTTCAAATGAATTCTCTAATTGACTTTCTGTGTAAAACATTATTTAAAAATTTCAGTACTTTCTAATATCAAGTTTCAAAGGAATAGACTCACGTTTTAAAATTTAATAATACTGTGAAAGACTTGAAACTTCTATTTGCTGACATTTCAAATGTCACATATAATCAACACAACAGAGAAGCCAAAATTCAACTGAGATGACAAATGCATGCTAAAGAAAAAGAAAGATACCAATCTACATACTTCAAACGAAGTGGTGAGAAATATTTGTTTATGCAGTTTAAAAATACCACAGGTATTCTACATATTGCACTACTTTCAAGCATACATAGCACTTATAAACTAATCTATTCAAGAAAAAAATACACTATATAACTATACTAAAAAAAGGGTAAGACTGCAATTACTAGGAAGTATTTTTCTTTGACATACTCTTTTTTTGTAAGAAAGCAACAAATTTCCAACTATTTCAGAAGTAATGCTGTGACAAAACTTAAGACAAAATTAAGTTGATAGGAGCATATCATTGTTAAAAGTTAAAATGAATATGTGTCATTAAAAATAAAAATAAATTTGAAAATACCACAAAACAATTTCAGGGCCATTATGTCATTTGCTGACCTGTACTTTTATCTATAACAATACACAAACTCCCATCAGTTTGTACATTCAGTACAATAAATTTCTACATTGCAAAAAATGTAAAGGCTACTAGAGGTTTAAAAATGTGGGACATACAAATGCAGAGAGGTTATGAAAACTTTACTTACAGAAGTGACTTGGAAGTAGAATTCTATCTTTCTTTCTATTTTAACTAGTAAGTAGAAAAACAAGCTAGCAGTGTAAGGTTATTTCAAAACTGAAAAGAGAAGGAGGAAGAGAAATTCAACACAAAAATGTAATCATTGTGGCATGGAAAAAAATTTCAATTTTATCATTTTAAAGAAATTGTGAATCTATTCATACTTGCATGTTTTCATGATAAATTTACTTAAACCATCTGTAATGACTATATGAAATGATATTCTTGAAGATTTAACAAATAGTAAATAGTGTATAAAGAATAAATACTTATGATAAAATGTTGTTTTTTTGTTTGTTTTCTTTCCTTCTTTCTTTTTTCTTTTTCTTTTATTTTCAATATTTCAAAGTTCTGAAATTTGTTGTTCAAAAATTTCAAAATAGTATGTATTTTGATATATAATTATCAAGTAAAAGTTTTCAAAATTGTATTGTGTTGCAAAGAGAGTTGAACAAAAATAAGCAAATACTATAATTTTCCTGGCTTACAAAAAGATAAATTTTAACATTCATTTCATCTATTCTAAACAGATGGTTGTCAAGAATTTACAAAATAATGAAACAAAAATTAATATCGTGAATAAAATATATAAAGAAACTTTTTTATTTTAAAACTATTTTACTAGCCAATATTTTCAGTTGAAAATTTTGAACACCATCTTTTCCATTTAAGAAACAAATTTTGAAATGATTATGGATTTTAAGGTTGCATGATTTTCCAAAGTAATCACGGCCATGCATTGTAAATAAAAATAAAGAACAATCATTCTGTACATTTTACCTTATTAGTGGAAAAACACCTTGACTAATTTCTGGACATGATTTTTAGGGGCACAAGAAGTTTTTAATTTTTTCGAGGGTTATAAGGGCTAAATTTTATGTTAAAACACATGCTAAATTTGGAAAATTATACCCCACTACCAGGGTAACAAATAAAATCTATGGAACTATGAAAAACTAAGTGGAATAACTTGTGAGATAAAGAGATTACATCTACAATCAAAATTTTTCAACTTTACAAATAGTGAAATATGTACCGCATTTCATGTGCATACAAAGGTGTCCACCATACAAATCTACAGGTACAGCTATGTTTATAACTGCTAAGAGATCAGGACTTAGTACCTTCACATTCTTCTGTATAGAGAGGCCCCGATCATCTTATTTGTAGGATGTGTGCACATTCATAGATGAAACAATACGTTTCATGGTGCTGTAACCAACTTTTATAACGCACTGTCCATCACAACTGTAAGGATGGATTAAGTCGCAGAGTATAAAAATACCTTTACACGACACATGCTTTCATGGCTTTCCAAAAATGAAATAAATGTATAATTATAATAATCTTAATAAATTATAGAACTTTTTGTCACTGCATTCACAAGTCACTTCTTGTGAAATTATTTATAAAAAAATTATTTTTGTAATCTAATTTTATGTTTTAACCAGTCTTACATACCAGTGGGTGTTAAACAAAAATAATGAGCTCTTTTGCAAGTATTATAGATTAAGTTACTACTGTTATAATAAGAACTAACAGGCCTATTGTAGCCCAGATATATATGTAATATGGTCACACTATATCTAACAAAACCCTGAAGCATGTTGAAAGTTCTTACTACAGCAATATGATATCACAATTTCAAATGAGAATCAGGTTCAAATTTCCTATTTGTGAGAAAAAGTTAATTCAAAACCGACCTAATACAAATATGTTACAGATTGATTAACAAGACAGTGAAAAAGGCAGGTAACAGAAAATTGCAGAAATATAAATGCATCTACTATGCATTACCCACAAAACATTTTGTAGTGCAGAACATTACATTTCAAGTGAAGCACACCTTGATTAGAGTAAAGTTAATACTAAATGCAGTATGTTATTTAATTGTATATCTTTAGACTATTTATTTAAATTTATAAAAAATTGAAAATTTACTCATTAATTTAGGTTAGAAATAGTAAGGAAACAATGTTATAATGTTCATCAATGTTGAAAAATAGATTAATATTACATTTATCAATTTGAAATTATCATTTGTAGGAAAATTGTTTAAATTCATGGTATATTATTGTAATATTACTTCAGCCTCAATTTAAATTCTGTTCATTCAATATTTCTAGGAAATGAAGATCCTGATGACCGTATATGAATGTTGATAGGCATTCAAATATGGTATCAGAGCTGGAAATATTATAATCAAAATTTTATATTATTCACTGTAGATGCAATTTTCCAAAACAAATTTTTGGGAGAGTGCAGTCTACGATGCAAAATATGAAACCAATTACAGTCACCAAACACCATCTCTATAAGAAGTAAAGGCAAGACAAGACAAAACATATCAAAACCACACAAAATATTGGTATTAAAGTTGATAGTAAAATATTTTGTCAGAGAGCTTACACAACAACTTTCATTCAAAAGCATTGAATGAAAAATATACTTTAGCCATTGACAATCACATTCTAAAATAGATTCAATGAATGAAACAAACATTTCTTGTGAGATGTCATGTACTGTAAGAATTATTTAACATATCCCCATATTTACAAAATAATTTTACAGTGAACACTAAGAATTAGAAACTATTTATTTGTGACAAATAATATAAAAAAAGATCAAGGGCTAAGAATTTTCAAACAATGAAACAAACAAACAACAATGATAATGCTTTGCATTTTGTTTTCACAAAAACAACCTCATATATATTCAAATTTTGGCATCTTTAACACAATCAGTTTCATATCTATAAATTGACTATGGAGAATTCTTAAACGTTTTGTAAACTTCAAACTAATGATTGTGATTTTCTTGGTATAATACATCAATTAATGCCTACAATACAAATGTTAATAGAAAAAACATCTGTAGTTTAATTTTGTCATTGTTTTTTTAAGTGAATCTACTATATTATAGAAGCACACTACTTATTATACATAATACAACAGACAGATTTAATTTTATTAGCAAAGCATTATGAAGTGCTGTGTTTTATCCTTGAACCATACATAAAGAAACCACCTTCACCGTGCACAAGTGTCGGTAAAATTAACAGTTTTTTTCCACAGGAAAAAATGAAATGGAACTGTATACAACTGAAATATATATGAAACTGTACAAATGTCATATAAAAATGTTGTAAACACAACAAACCTAAAAAAGTTATTTTGGCATTTTAGTCTGGAAATAGATTACAAGACTAAAGTTAATTTTACCATTTCTTGCTTTCCCCAGACACACTTACACTTTTCTGTAGAGGTACTTTCTCATGCAAAATAAATCAAAACCAAAAATTCATTTGCACAGTAGAGATATGTACATATTTGTAGAAACATTACTTTACCTAGTGGAATATCTGGAATGTGAGGAATAATTTCTGCTGGCTTGAGGCCAGTCGCCAATGGAGTGCTTGGACCATTTACAAGCACAGACCCGATGTAATTAAGTAGCTTCTGAGCTCTGTTTTGAGACTTCTTAAACTGGAAGAGCTGGGGGTTCTCATCAATGAAATCTGTATCCACAGTTCCATTTAAAAACTTCTGATTCTCAAGCACGTTCAATAGGAATGGAATGTTTGTCTGAAATAGTAACAGAGAGACTTACCACAACTTAACAAATATCTGAACTGGCTATCCATCAATTATCAATGAATGAATGAATGAACTTATCAATAAGACTGAAAATTAATTTTAGATTTATTGATAAATGTTTTTGTGTATGTGATTTGCTATGGTTATTAGTCTCTTGAAGTGTAGTTAATGTTATGGTATCCTGGGAGATAGCAATGTTCCTCCTCCGCCGGATATTTGGGGCCAGTGTGTGGGGGATTTCCTCTTCCAGGAGCAAGCACTAGACTCCTACCAAGTGGCAGTGAAGTGTATGAGTGAGAAAAGAGGACAGAACAAGGAAGAGGATGAAGTCCAAGGACTTTGTTAGTGTTTTGCTTAGGTATAGATTGCCAAAACCTTGGAAAAATACCAATCAGAGCAGCTGGCAGCTAGTTTTCTCCCCCAGACTGGCTGAATTCGACCTAGCTATCTAGCTAGTGTTGAAAATATGCCACCATTGGCCTTGAACCCTAGGACCTCCCAGTCGGAATTGCTGTAGACTTCTGTTATGCCAGCTCTGAACTAACATCCAGTTTAATCTGCTAGAAATTACATTTGATCCAGAGCTGTACTTGGAATTCAAACATAGAATCTTTACATTCCATTTGAATTAATCATGGTAACAACTTACCTTTACACCACGCACTCTGAATTCTCGTAATGCACGGCTCATTTTTGCGCAAGACGACTGCAGGTCATGAGCTCGGGAAATCACCTTCACCAACAACGAATCGTAATATGGGGAGATCTGTGCACCAGCGAAGGCAGATGCTCCATCCAGTCGGATACCCATGCCCTCACCACTACGGAACACCTGCGGAAAAATTGAAACTTAAGAATGACAAAGCTGAAAACACGAGCAAAGGACATATGACAATGACAAAGCTGACAACATAGAAGTGTTGACAAAAAAATCAACAAAAATCTGACTGAAGAACACTTCAACAGTAAGGAAACCTTTTGTGGCTTGCCTGTAAGGTTGCTCTAGTTCACTGTAACCACACAGCAAGGTTCAATGAATATTTTGCTTCCCTACTGCATTATAACACATTCTTCTTTTTCTTCACAAGCAGGGAAGTTGAACCTGCTTAAACTTAGCACTGATCACTTCAATCTAACATTAATAGAACTACTTGTGATGCATGTAAACCAATATTAACAATTTAATGATTATTAGTGCTGAATGAAGTAGATGTTGGATGTTTACGACAATGCATATTTTATTTTAAAACACATACTTTAAGGCTGTTAGTATATACGTTCAAATTAGGAAAAATTAACCAGACTGACAAAGTTTTATTTTGCCTTTTTTAGCCTCTTTTGATGTGCGACTTTTTAGGCATTATTTATCTAATTAAATACTTTTTTCCTTGAAATGAATTTGTATCACTTCCAAGTCTTGGTTGAAACTAAATGTATATTTCATCTTGAGTTTTACTAATTACAATAGTTGTCTGCTGGTAACAAAGCTCTAATTTATTTTTGCCTGGGCTGAAGATATAATTTAAGTTTGAATTTGGCATTGTGTGAGAGAAGGGCACAGATTTACATTGCAAACAAAACACACACATGTTGGAGGGTAAGCCAATAACCCTTCCTTATGACAATTTTCTTTAAGTATAAGGTATAAAATCTGCATTAATGCAAGGAATTAAAAGAAAAGTCTCTTTCATATGCTAATTATGGAAATGAGAACATTTATATTGATCATTATTTCGGGCTTACAAGTTATTTATTTGCCTATTGTTCAACAAGGTTCATTAATTTTCCCCTCATGTTATACAGATTTAAATGCAAATATTCTGCTAATTTTAGATGCAGGTGCAATGAAATATATAAATGCTCTCCCCCCCCCCCAATTTAAATATTTTTCACCTTATGGTCCTATTTCTTATTTTATTAGTCTTTTTTTAGACACCAAAAACACGTGTTCAGTCTCAACTTCACAAAGAAATGGAAGTATTCTAACCTCAATGCGACCAGTGTCTGGCTGGAAGTTCTTGGCAGGATCTTCAGTGGTCACTCTGCATTGGATTGCACATCCCTGAGACACAATTTTGTCCTGGGTCATACCCAATTCGGGCAAGGTGAGACCCTCAGACAGACGAATTTGTGACTGCACCAAGTCGATTCTGTAAAGTTGACACACAAAAATGATGTTAAAATGGTAGCTGAAGGAGAGAAGCAAACTTTACAATCAAAAGACTAAGAATAATTATGTGACAAGCATAAAATGGATTACTTTTCCTCAGAGTGAATAGTGAAAAAATGCCAAAGCAAAAATGACAATCCATTCCAAAAGCTAGCTTTTCGCAAATTTCTTCTATTTTTCGACAATTTTACTTTTTAAGTTGAGAGAGAGTACAATTGAGTGTACAACACACTGAAAACATTTTTGAATTGAAAATAGAGAGTAGAATGACCCCACAGGCCTCAAACGGCCAACACAAACATGGCACTCTAGCAGAAATTAAAATGTGAGATTGTCCCTCCATACAGGGCAGACCTCTCTCCCTGCGATTATTCCATATTTGGTCCCCTAAAATACGGCTCTGGTGGGCAAAAGATTCACATCAGACAATGATGTTGAGCAATACATGCAGAACTTTTTCACTCCCCCTGCCCCTCACCCTGGGAATTTTATGAGATACGTGACAGCAATCCACCACTTAGTATCACAGTGGGGTAAGCCAGGGCCACTACTTGCGACATACAGGTACTGGTTTTGTTCCTATGCCCATGGCTAGTTTCTTTTTGAATGCTCCATATAATTGAAGAAAAGACGGGTTTTTCTCTTAACCTGAAATGACTCACCCTGTTATTTCTTCAGTGACCGTGTGTTCCACTTGCAGCCGAGCGTTCACTTCAATGAAGTAGAAGTTTCCTTGAGGGTCCACTAGGAACTCCACAGTGCCAGCATTCTCATAGCCCACATGCCTTGCCAGCTTCACCGCCTGCTCTGTCATGCGATCGCGTACCTAAGCAATAAGTACAATGATTTTTCACTGTGCCAACAAACAATTATCAGTAAATGTAAAGTCACATATTATTTTAGATAGAGCAAGAAATAATGTAACAAAACAGGAAAAAAAGGAAGAAAGATTAAGTGTTAAAGAACAGTTACAAGCTGCATGCAATTTACAAGGGAGGAGGAAAATCTGCAGAAACCAGATGTAGATGATTGTCCTCATACTTTTCACTTAAGAGCAATACTTGTTAGTACAATTTTTAGTTCTATGTTACAAAAAAAACAACAGATGTGAGAGTGCACGAATGTTAAAAATTTGAATGCAAATAAAATCCAATGTTGAGTCTAATTTTCTCATGCATTTATTAGAAATATTTTGCTATTAGTTACTACTAACTGAAAATAATACCAAGTGTACTGGAAAATGCATATTAAACATTTTTTCGAACTAAAAAAAAGTATATTTACCTCCCTCTCCTACTACAATAAATTCAATTTCAAACATTGGAACAACAAGCATTTTTGGCAAAATTTGATAAGAAGAAACATTTGCACTCACATAATGAAAGCTATTTGCAATGATAAATGAGCTAGAGATTCCAGAAAAATAAAGGAGAACGAAAGCGGAAATATCGGAAAAGCATGAAGCCCAGAACGTCAGGAGAGAATAAAACTTGAATGCAAAAAGGTAACAAATTTCTAATGTACATTGTACATTGGGGGCATGTTAGAAGTAAACACCAAACAAAAAAGAAGGATCAAGAAGAGAAAAGAAATGAAAAAAAAAAAAAAACTTGAAACATTATTATCGGCAAAAGAAGAATATATAAATGACACTGCAATATAGAATTCTAACAACAAATACACAGCTTTTTTTTTGTTTTTACATGCCAGACATTTCACCTTTTGATTTACGTTTAACTTCCAGTTCGCATTTCTAGAAACGCGCAACGTACCTTGGGGTCAAGGTTGGGAGCAGGCGCTATCTCCACCACCTTCTGATGCCGGCGCTGTACGGAGCAGTCTCGCTCGTACAGATGCACCACGTTCCCCGCGTGGTCTCCCAGCAGCTGCACCTCGATGTGGCGCGGCCGTTCGATGAACTTCTCGATGAACATGGCACCATCGCCAAACGCCTTCTGGGCTTCCGACGACGCCAGATTGAACATCTCCTCAACCTAGGAGGCAACAACCACTGTTCTGTAATGCTTTTTAATTCATAAAACCACACGCTCACTACAAAAAAATGTCGAAAATTTACGTAACAAAGACGGGGCAGTGATAATCCAAGTTGAATCCAGCTGCGGCTCACAATACATGTAAATTTTTAGGGTAATTAGAGGTCGAAGATAATCACTTCTTGCCAACGAACTTGTGATGAAATCAATTTAACAAAGTTACGCACTGACATATGCCCCTGATTCGTAGGCAACCCATCTTGCACTGATGTAGACCGGGAACATAAAATACCTTCAGGCGGCTCCACACACTCTTTATTTGACGAGAGGCGAGCAACCGCACGCAGAATCCCAAGTAGTGTGGGTAAGCTGCTTGCTATTTGCCGAATGAAGAACATTCGGTTGTCGCCCTATCCTCCGCGTGTCGGTCAATGGACACATCAAAGGATGCGAACAATCGCCCAAGACATCAGCTGTTCGG